TCAGGGCTCCTGTTATATGCCGTGTTCGTAGATTTAACCAAGGCTTTCGATTTGGTTTGGTTAGACGGCTGTTCTTTAAGCTGGGACGTATCGGTATAACGAGCATAATGTTTCGGTGGATCAAAAGCTTTCTGAGCAATAGAAGCATACAGGTGAATGTTGGCCACAACGATGACATCTACCAATCCAGAAACAGGAGAGAACAACTATCAAACAATATGTTTCTTATTAAGAGTCATTCCACGAGAAAACCATGCAATATCAGGCAGATGTTCGAAGGTGGGGGTCGGCCAATTGAGTTCATACTCACAGGGTTTGGTCGACCCATCGAACCTACTCCCCAGCCAAAATCGCGGATTTCAGAAATCAACCCTTTCCGAGATACAGGCCGATTACGTTTTTCGGCTGATTTTTGTCATTTTTAGGCCAAATTTTAGCTATTTTTGTCGCACTACTACCGCTGTTGCATGACCCTGGCGAACTAGGTTTTGGTTGTTCGTGATAGTTGTGGTCTTACCCTATCACATTATCATGGTCACCCGGTTCATGGTCCTGGATTATGGCCCATGATTGTACAAAAAGTCGCGTTTTTAGCTTGTAGCCCCCCTAGAAGTCACAATTTGTATTTGATTTTTAAAAACGTTTTAATATATCACCGTTACACGCTAATGATGGCGGAGTTCGAATTTCGTGAAAATCGGGTCAAAACTGCCGGACAAAATGGCCCTTCCTCGTACGCAAATAGTCTAAAAGTATGTAATTCCAAGGTTGTGGACACCCTTGAGGTCACATTTTATATCTGATTTTCATGAGACTTAAAATAATTATGTTTAGATCCCAAAGATCTTGGTCCCTGACGATATTCGCGCATATCGGACCGTAACTTAATGGAATATGACCCCCGATTTTAAGAAAAATCGCCTTTTTAGCTCGAAGTTCCTCTTGAGGTCACAATTTTTATCTGGTTTTAAAAACCGTTTCAATATATCACCGTTACGCCCTAATGACAACTAAGTTCGAATTTCATGAAAATCTGAGTGAAACTGCCGGACAAAATGGTCGCTCCTCATAAGCAAATAGTGTAAAAGTATGTAATTCCAAGATTGTGGACAATCTAGAAACACAATTTTTATCCGATTGTGATGGAACTTAAAATATATGTTTATATCCCAAAGATCTCGGTTCCGTTCGATATTCGCGCATATCACATCGTAGCTTCCTGAATTATGATCCCTGAATATAGAAAAAAAAACACGTTTTGATCTAGTAGTCCCTCTTAATGTCACAATTTTTATTCGACTTGATGAAACTTTTATATTATATACTTTTATATCCCAAAGATCTTGGTTGCTTTTGATATTGTCGCATGTCGGACTGTAACATACTGGATGATGGCCCCTGGTTGTGCGAAAAATCGCTTTTTATTTAGCTTGTTCTCTGTCCATCTTTTGCAAAATGTGTTTGTATCTTGCTTAGCAACCGCTTATTCATATTTAATTCCCGTATGGTATTCAAATTTATGTCAGTAATATTCCTACTAGTGCTCCTACGACTAGTAAACGGTTAGAACTGGACGGTTAAACGGTTCGAATTCAACGGTACGGTTATTCAGAGATCTCCCCCATTACAAAGAGTTGTGTCTGATTATATTCCTCTTTATAACAAAACGTGCCCGTTGTCATTTTGTATTTGATGTTTTAAAATCTTAGAATGTAACAGTCGTCCTACGATGTCGACTGCTAAACAATGATACTATTAATAGCACTCGTCGTAGTCATACGGCAAAGTCAACGGGCCTTGTTCTGACTTTAGCTAATGTTAATCCAATCAAAATACTTCTCGGCATTTCTAACTATATTCTACCTTGTTTATTATTTACTTAAAAACGTAACCACCAATTAAAATATAATCATAAAGGATAGAAAATAGAATTCTACTTTGGTTTTTAGTTAAATTAACCAATCATAAAAATTCTACTTGCAAGCGAGGAATTAATTCTTTATTGTCCAATCAAAAGACGTCTTCCAATTTACTTTATTCTATTCTTAGTAACATTGTGTAATCGTAATATTATCGCCATCTGTCACGTACGAAGGGAACCAGAGTATTGCTTTGTATATTATCGTAGATATATACGTGTATTGAATTAAAAAATGTTTCAAATGAACCAAGTTAACCAGGTAAATAAATAACTACGGCCTTAGATAGTTTAAATTTTCATTCAAGAATTCCTGAAATTTTTGCGCGTGTAATGCCTTTTTTTAGGCGAGTATAGCGTGCGCACGAGTAATGACTCGCACCTCCTGACAGGCTCTGTTTTATGTTTAAAATTGATACCATACGGTTAACGGTTACTAACCGGTTAATAGCTACGGCTATTCGAATAACAAAAAGTCCTAACCTTAGAAGCACTAATTCCTACAAAATTACGTGTTTTCATAATACGATAGAATGAAATTTGCCGATCCGCGCCTGTTTTAATCAAATTCACACCAGTAATATTCCCTCAAAATTACGAGTCTTTGTTTATACGTCAGCAAATGAAGAAAGGCGTCTGAAATAAGAATTATTTTCGTAAAATGGTATTTTAAAATTACATTGATAGTTAAATCACTTGTAAAAGGCATACATAACTTCGCGTATGGCGTTCGTGACCGTTAACATATAACACATACAGGTAGTTTCGTAGTATGCACAGCCTTACATAGTAAGCGATTTTCGTGCGATAATCGAGATCTGGGGAAAGTGCCACTGTAGATGGGAATTTGTATATGGTGTCTTAAAAGAAGTAGTTTCATTACGGAAAATAAGTTAAAGATTTAATAGCTAACAATAGACAGAGGTTTTGAAATTTATAATGACTGTCCATTGATTCGGGGTGTTATATACTATTACGATAATATGTAACATCAATGGCTAGTTTCTACGTGCTGTCGGTTGATATCAATGAGATTAAATTTTCCGGCAATGACTTCTGTTCAAGATTAGATTGATGAATTTCCAGACAAAGTAATAAGTCAGATTAAGCAGGTAAACAACGTAGGTGTATAGACGGTATAATACGATAAATATGCTGATCACTTAATTACCTAATCAATCCAGCCTATTATCAACAATTATCGGGATGAGTGGTAGTTATACGCTCAGTTTACTATATTAATTTTGAAATTCTGAATATTATTCATCATATCTTGATGTCCGATTGGGCATATTCGTGGCCGGACATTTGAAAAATAGCGTAGGACATGTCCGGAATATACGGGTAAAATCACAACACTTAAGAAACTGAAATTTGACGCGAAAAGTGACGAATTTCGTAACTTTCGACACAAATTTTCATGCTGTCGAGGGTTAGTTGACAACGATTTTATTTTTTATGTTGTTAGAACAGGTCAAGCTGCAAATAAAACGATTTTTATTTTTATCGCAAACCCTGCTCCAGTGGAGTTATCGCAATTTGAAGAAAGAGTATAATTCAGGTGTCTGCAGACACGTATTTTGTATAGTGCCATGACACCTACGGAAAGAGAGGTTGCATTGGGTGACCATTATAATATGGTTGGGTGAGACCTGGACTAGAATCACCAACCAAAACTTAGTTCGCCATTGGTTGATCAACGGCTATAGCAATGCTACAAAAATGGTCGTAATTTAACCTGAAAATGACGAAAATCAGCCGAAAAACGTAATCGGACTGTATCTCAGAATCGGTTGATTTCTAAAATCGACGATTTTGGCTGGGGAAGAGGCTCGGTGTGTCGACCAAACCCTGTAAATATGAAATCAATCGGCCAACCCCCACCTTCAAACCTTCTGCGTGGTTTTCTCGTGGAATGGCTCTTAATTAAAAGGATTAACATCCCACTAAACCCAATCCATGGCCTAAGGCCGAAAATGGAAAGATTGCAAAATCATATTCTAAAAACAGGAAGCAGCTTGTCTGCAATATCACTTCTGTGGACGCAGACGTTAAAGCACCAAGATACCACTACTACTGTTAACTAATCATTATTTGCTGGATAACCATACCAGGGTTCTTAATCCATTTTGAAACGAACTGGCCAAAATTGGGTCAAATGAGGTCCCGGTAGGAAATCAGTTAATTATAAGCTTCCATTCCCTTAAGTATAACGAGAATTCCATAAAAATAATTCTTGTTAATTTGTTATGAAGAATGTCGTATTCTGATGTATGTGATTACCACAAAAATAACGACAATTAGGTACATCATTTGAAAATTTTCCATATTTAATTCACATACCAGTTAACTGAATTTAGTATCATTAAAGGACAATATTGGTGCCAGACATTATCACATATGTAATAGAGCTGGTTAAACACATTCCAAATATAATTTTAACACAGAGATCATTGCTACGATAGTTGAGTAATAAAAGTTTTCTGAATCGGAAGTGACGAACGCCAAAGGAAAACACGAGTCATCTCTCTATATAACTGTCTGATGTGAAGAGTGATAACAGATATACGGGCAAATTTCTGCTCACTAATAATTCCTTCGAAGACCAAAAGTTGTTCTGTGAGACTGGGAGAATATCTGACAATTCATAAAAAGAATTGATTGCCACTAGATAAGTGAATACGAAAGAAAAACAGAAAAAGTCTGTGCATTACCATGTTTTTACAAGGGAATGTATGGACTATTTCTATTTTTCTCGTGTGCTCTTAACTAATGACATTCAATTACTTTATTGAATTGTCAGGTATCCTCTTACAGTCCCATATAACAAGTTTTGGTCTTCGAAGGAATTATTAGTGAGCAGAAATTCGGCCGTGTATCTATTATCACTCGTCACATCAGTCAGTTATATAGAGAGATGACTTGTGTTTTCCTTTGGCGTTTGTCACTTCCGATTCAGGAAACTTGTATTACTCAGCTATCGTAGCAATGATCTCTGTGTTAAAATTATATTTGGAATGTGATTAACCAGCTCTATCACATATGTGATAATGACTGGCACCAATATTGTCCTTTAACTTACCTACAATAGTATAAGCATTAGCACTGAGATACTTGAGGCACTTTTCTAAACACCATAGACAGCAAATACAACATTTCATCCAATACTTGGCACACTGACTGTCAGATACCTTCAATCTGCAAAATATTGATATATCAAGTTAGTTAAATTGACAAGTATACTTTGTATCTGATTGCTTTTATTTTCAAAGGTCAAATGCATCTGTTTTCTACTGCGCGTGATGATAAAACATCATGCATCAGCTTTGTTCTGGAAAATTCTAATGACACGTAGAGAGAATGACGACCAATAGACCTATTCTCGCCACTGATAAGATTCTCACATAACAATTAACTTTTATTGTTCAACTATCAGATATTCATCATTAATTATGGTTTGACGAATATGTGTACTATTTTATAACACCAATCAACGCTTTTTACATCTACACTTATTTATACATGCATTGAATTTCATAGTTACGTAGACATGTCTATCGTGGTCATGTTTGAAAATGGGGTTTTGAAAATTATGCTAGTTTTACGGTGTGTAAATTGACGGATATACGACATTCAAATTTTAGAGGATATAGTTTCCGACGACCTTGTGTTGTGATCTCAAAAGATAGATTGCCAGGCAACGAAACAAACGCCAACAGCAGCTAAGTTGTCCAAGCAGTCAACAAGAGTTGTTGCATATTTTTTCTATTGTCGGTAATGAAACATTTATGATACACTAAAAGCTGATTAAGAGTAACAACTCATTAAGTAATTACCAGAGAACCATTAGAATTTGTTTGGCTTTTAGTTCTGCCCCATGCTAACGTTTAGTATACGAAACAGTTACTATCATGGATTTAGCTGTTCAAGTTATCAACCAGCGACATCCAGGCAGGATATGGCCACATTTTGCAAGAGATGGACAGAGAACAAGCTAAACAAAAAGCGATTTTTCGAACAATCAAGGGCCATAATTCACGAAGTTACGATCCGATATGCGCAGATATTAACAGGAACGAAGATCTTTGGATTATAAAGATATCGGATCGAAATTGTGATTTCTAGAGGGTCCACAACCTTGATATACCATATATTTATTTACACTATTTGCGTACGAAGGGTGGTCATTTTGTTTGGCAGTTTTGGTCAGATTTTCATGAATTTCAAACTCAACCATCACTAGGGTGTAACGGTGATGTACTTAACCGTTTTTTTAAATCGGATAAAAATTGTGACCTCTAGAGGGACCACAAGCTAGAAACGCGATTTTTCGGACAGTCAAGGGCCATAATTCAAGAAGTTACAATCCGATATGCGCAAATATCGAAAGGAACCAAGATCTTTCGGTTATAAACATGTATTTCAAGTTTCATGAAAACTGGATCAAAATTGTGAGCTCTACAGGGTCCGCAACCTTGATATATCATATTTTTACACTATTTGCGTACGAGGGGCATCCATTTTGTCCGACAGTTCTGGTCCGATTTGCATGAAATTCAAACTCTGACAAAATTGTGGTGTAACGGTGATATATTCAAACGTTTATTTAAATCGGACAATAATTGTGACCTCTAGAGGGACCACAAGCTAAAAACGCTATATTTCGTACAATCAGGGGCCATTATTCAGGAAGTTATGATTTGATATGTACGAAATCGAAAGGAACCAAGATATTTGGGTTATAAACATGCATTTAAAGTTTCATCAAAATCAAATGAAACATTGTGACCTCCGATCTTTACGAAATTCGAACTCAACCATTCTTAGGTTATATCGGTGAGATAAATAAACGTTTTTTTAAATCAGATAAAAATTGTGCCCTTTATAGGGTCCACAAGCTAAAAACGTGATTTTTCGTACAATAAGGGGCCATAATTCAGGAAGTTATGGTCCGATATTAGCGAGTATCGAAAGGAACCGAGATCTGTGGGATATAAACATACATTTCAAGTTTAAACCAATTTCACACAATCAGGGGCCATAATCCATGAAGTTACAGTCCGGTACATGCCAATATCGAAAAGAACCGAGATCTTAGGGCGATAAACCTATATTTCAAGTTTCATTGAAATCGGATAAAAATTGCGTCCTGTAGAGTGAAAATCAATATACTTGTTCATCTCAAGAGTCAAGACCTTAAAGTCTGTGTATCAATCTAAAGTCAATCAGATGATAACTTTAGTCTCTAGAGCGTCCACAAGATTTTTCAAAGTGATCATGGGCCATAACTCTGGTAGTAATTATTGGAAATCATTGAAAATCACTGGGCTTTTTCGTCTCACAACCTTAAACACAGTGTCTACATTTAAAGTCAATCGGATATTAACTTTAGCCTCTAGAGCGTCCACAAGATCTTTTAAAGTGATCAAGGGCCATAACCCTGGCAGTAAATTATTGGAAATCGTTGAAAATCAATAGGCTTCTTCGTCTCATGACCTAAAATACTGTGTATAAATTTCAAGTCAATCGGATATTAATAATAATGATGATGTGTGTGAATAGACATTATAAATGAAAACATTAAAACGCTGTGCTTTTAGTTTATTTATTATTCATAATAATAATAATAACTAGAACTGCGAGGCAGTAATGACAGGTTTCACTGGTGCCACGCTACCCTTGAACTTATGTCACTTCTGGTGCCATCTTACCCTTGACCTATGTCACTTCCAGAGACACGTTACCATGTCAAAAAAGTGATCCTGACAAAATTTGTTACTAACTTACTGTCAAGTTAGCTGACTTTCTAATGGAAATGAAATGAAATGAAATGAAATGGGGTTTAACGTCCTACTGTTGGGCTAAAGAAGACGGGCATACGCCATACAGTGTACTATGAGGGAAATTTTGCACAGACAGGGGCACTACGGCCTACTCTTATAACGAATTCCAACTGTCAAGGGATCTTTTACGTGCATGCCAATGTGTACACAGAACCTCGGTTTTTCGTCTCATCCAAATGACTAGACAGCTGTCCTTCCCAGGCCCTCCGTCCTGCATCACTGACAAGGGGGAACCAAGCCGGAAAATCTTGGTGATGTTTGTGGGCCAATACTGGGATCGAACACCCGACCTTCAGTCTAGCGAGCCAGCGTCTTACCCACTTAGCCACTGTGACCCCCACTTTCTAATGGGAAATTAAAATGCAAAAAAAATCTTAAAAAGTGATCCTGACAACCTGACAAAATTGGTTATTTCTCGACAAGGGAAGATTCTAAAAGCAATTTTTGGACATCTATATGATCGTATTGATTCAATCTATATGTCCATTTAAGTCAAATATCATAGTGTTAAACGAATAACAAATATAACTCAATTAAAGAAAAATGTTTTGAAGGCTAAAAATACAGTTTTTGCCAAAATGACGCTACTTTCGGTGATAATGAAACCATTAAACAGGTTTCGACATAAGCATTGCACACATCAAATAAAATGGACGCCGAATCAACCAAATCCAGCAATATCAATTCATTTTATACATTTGTTACATGTAAGCGTACAATACTTCCGGTGATAATGAAAATGTTCAATTAGTTTTATGAAATCATAAATGGCATAAGGCATCACATGGTGAAAATTTCATGAAAATCAAATAATTGCTACTTTTACAGACCAAGAAACCTTGAAAAGTGACTTGTAGAAAATCGTCTATTTCTCTGCAACTGTACAAGTTAGAAACCATTCGTGACATCTGTATGATCGTATGGGTTTATTCTATTTGTTGATTGGAATCAAATATCATAATTTTATAAAACATTACAAATCAGACTCATTTGAATAAAATATCTGTTTTGAAGGCTAAAATACAATTTTTGCCCAACTGACGTCATTTCTGGTGACGTCATTTGCAATTGCGCATATTGCAAATTAAATTTCACATACATTCTCTTTGTATGGATTATTGCTACGAGTTTAGGAAAGTTACGAAGAAATTTTTGAAAATATGAAGACGTTGGATGGGTTGTAATTAGCTGAATTTTAATCGAAATAGTCAGGAAACGAAATAGAAATTATAAAAAACTGAGCCCAATATTTTGTGAATCTTTAAAGAGCCCAGAATTTCAGTTATATCAGATTTGAAAAAAATAATATTTGCTTTCAAAAAGTAGTACCAAACTGTCAAAATTGTTGTTTTTGTTAAAATTATGTCACTTCTGATGCCGGCAGGAAAGTTTAACGGTAACAAAAAAGATAGGTTGCCAGGCAACGAAACATACATCCACAGCAGCTAAATCGTCCGGCAGTCGATTTGTAGGTAAACTTTACGTCATTCAATAGAATGTAAATTTAATACAGATCGACTGATAACTTTAGTTGTTAGAGCGTTCACAATGTTCTACAGCGTGAAACAAGGACCATGAAGTAATTAACGGAAATTGTTGATATTATAAAGGCTTCTTCATCAGATGAATGGAGGCAACTTACGACCACGTTGCCACGTGGGCGTATAAAAAAGAGGGCATATCAATAGGATTCGTCCTCTCATGACCGTGATGCTTCACACAAAATTTGGAAAGAATCTGTCAAAAACTGTAGTCTCATGACATAATATGCCCACATAACAAATCAGAAGCAATCAAGGGTTTGACATGTTTGTGGGGATAAACTTACAATGGAACTTCGATCTGCGTTTAATATACATGTATACCCATTGTTTTATACATCTCTAACGTCTATAAAATTGATAAATGAAATTGAAATGTAGCCAAATGTACTTACCTTTTACTTAAATACATTAAAATCCATCTAGGTAGTTTAACAATTGTGATGATAACTGCTCCTGTGGCTACGGAACCTAAGTGATAGACAATCATACGACCAACAGAATTACCTATCACACAGCTAACACTTTCTTTATTTCTACAAAACAAACAAAATTGAAAATAACTAAAATTTACCAAATATACTATTAAAAAAAAGTAGGGGATATTTGATTTTGGGGGCATAATACTAAAATATGCAAATGACTACGAAAAAAGTCACTATAGAACCTAACAGAAGAAACATTTCCAGTTACATGTGACGCCCAAACGCACCAATAGCTACCGCATGGAATGCAGGTGATGCTTGGGATCATCATGGGGGTCCAACCCAAGATTTGCACGACTCTGACTTTGAATGTTACAGTCATTGTGGCATTGAATTCCAGGGTGGAAACATCAGTTTAATTGTTTTAGTGACCAGAAAACAAATTTTGATATGCGTCGGCTTACCCAAAATGAAAGGTTACGTGCCCTTGGCATGCTACAGATCGGCACAACACAGGCGGTTGTGGCGCGGACGATGAATGTTTCTCAGTCTGTCATATGCAGGCTATGGTCCAGATACCGTGATACACAATCTGTACAGGACAGACCACGCTCAGGTCGACCAAGGGCGACAACTCAAGCCCAGGATCGATTTATCCGTACCTTGGCCTTGAGAAATCGTGTCATCACAGCAAATCAGATCAGCGCTCGTCTTCAAACAGACACTGGTGTGAGAGTGAGTGGTCAGACGATTCGGAATCGACTGCATAGGGGTCACCTTCGCGCCCGACGTCCTCGCGTGATCCCTTGTTTGAGAGATCATCACATTCAGGCAAGACGTCGTTGGTGTAGGGATCGTCAACACTGGGATAATCGACGCTGGAGCAATGTGATGTTTTCAGATGAGTCAAGGTTCACTGTTGATTTTTTGGACAGACGTAGGAGGGTGTGGCGTCGTCGAAACGAGCGCTTCCAAGACGTTAACGTCATCAGACATGATCGATTTGGGGGTGGTTCTGTTATGGTGTGGGGAGGCATCACTGTTGCTGGAAGAACGGCTTTACATGTTGTTGCAGGGCGTGTTACAGGCCAGTACTACCGGGACAACATCTTGGCAGTCCATGTTGTGCCGTTCGCACGACGTCATGGCCGCCGTTTCATCTTCCAGGATGACAACGCAAGATGTCACAGGGCCAGGATCGTTACAGGTTACCTCCAACAACAGAACATCACCACATTACCTTGGCCAGCACTGAGTCCCGACCTCTCCCCCATCGAGCATGTCTGGGACATGCTTGGACAGAGGTTACGTCAACGTCAACAACGTCCTGCCAATGTCCAAGAACTTGCTGCTGCGTTGCAACAGGAATGGGACAATCTGGACCAAAATGACCTTAGACGTCTCATTAGGAGTATGCCACGTCGGATCAATGCTTGTTTGGCAAACAGAGGAGGATTTACCCGTTACTGACTTGGTTGTGATGCTGTGGTAACTTTGCTGTTTGACCCCGGGTATCATTTTACCCTTATAATGGTCAGTCTGTGCCTTACTTAGTCTAACGATCATTTGGAATAAATCGATGAATGTGAACTTCATTTCATTTTGTCATTTGTTTCTTCGTCAGTTTCATTAGGTGACTTTAATAACACTTAAAAATCAAATATCCCCTACTTTTTTTGAATAGTATATATAATCAGGCAAATAGGACGAATTATTTAATTATACAGAGCGCCATGGAAAACGCATCACTTAGTTTTTCGTATAACAAAATAATCCTGTAAACATATCTTATTTATTTTGCTTCTTATTGTGAACAATATTCAAATGGGAACACATCAATAACAACACATTTGTACACTTATGGATGTTTAATCTGTAATCAACGGTACAAAGTCAGAGGGGTCAAAACAAAAAGTATGACACAGATGTCAGTAGCGCGTGTGTCCTCCACGGGCCATCATCACTGTAGGCTACAGCATTAACGCGACCCCTGCAAATGTGTTGGGCAGTCCGGTGATGAAATGTGAAGCCTCCTCACACCATTACACTTCCCCCACCCCATCGATTCGTTTCGCAGACGCAGCAGTCTGCAAGACGTTCCCCAAGACGTCTCCACACACGTTGTCGGCCATCAGCGTGATAAAGATGAAAGCGACTCTCATCACGGAAGAGCACACTTTGCCAGTCTACTCTTTTCCATGTCTGGTGTCCTTGAGCCCATATCAAACGCTGCTGACGGTGATGATCCATGAGAATAGCTCCAGCATAAGGCCGTTGGCACGGAGTCCTACTTCTCTTAGACGACGTCTTACGGTGTTGACACTTACTGGTCCTTGTCTTCCGAAGACTGTTGCAGCTGTTCGAGTTGCTGGGCGGAATCTGTCACGCAGATGAGTGACCCGGATGTAGCGGTCTTCAGCCTGGGTTGTAACGCGTTGTGGACCAGGACGTTGACGGTCACGTGTTGATCCAGTAACTCGAACACGTTCCACCAACCTTACAATAGTGGACTGATGACAATTGAAGTGTCTGGCAATAGCACGTGTAGACATGCCAGCCCCGGACATTCCAATGGCTTCATTCCGTTGATTTTCAGTAAGTCTCGGCATCTCTAACTCGATTCCTTCACACGTCCAACAACAAATTACGACAGATTGACGTTTTCACAGTTCATGTACTGCACATTAAGTTGAAAACATGCTTTTAAAGGGCTCGCACACAATGCTGCACGTGAATATTGGGGTTTTCATTTGATTAAATTAGATGAAACTTGTAAGGATACTATTGTTCCATCATCAGATTATGTTGTCAATTGTTCAATTGTATTTTTCACTTTTCTTCTATCATAATGCACATGCAAAGAATATCTGAACAGCTTAGTTATGCAAGTGTGTGTTTTGGGTGGGGTGTAGGGAAAATCTTTGTCTTGCATGCGGCGACCATTTAATGTCTGGGTATGGTGAAAGCCTTCAGCCTTGAGAGCAAGTCTAGTTGGGCTTTCACCTTATTATTACTGAGATTATTAGGCTTTCAGACTTTCATCTGACAGAATATTGTTTTTACTAAAATAGCTTGTGTGAAACACTATTGTATTTGTTCGGATTATCATTATCATTCTTTTATTTTGATTAAATCTCAGCAACTGCTTGTCGCATCGTTATGAAGTCTACAGTTTAACTGGGAAAGTGGGTGTGACTTAGAGGATAAAGATATTATGCGCCAAATTTAGAAATTTGAAATCTTTACAAAAACTTTTCTTTTATGAATATTTTTTTTATGGTATTTTACACAGGAATAAAGGGTCATCTGACTTGAGCAAAAATGTGAACAATTTTTTGTCTCAGTAATTTGCATTAGCCGCCATTGGCTAATTTAGTTTTTCGGTCCTAAATTTATTGTTCAATTTGTATAAAACAAAGTTTATATGCCCCGTGGTCTCAATTGTCATTTTTTTTTTGTTACCAATATAGTTTAATGTCGGCACCAGAAGTGATGTAATTTTGCCAAAAACTACAATTTGGACAGTTCGTTTCCCCTTTTGGAAAGCAAATATTATTTTTTTTCAAAATCTGATATAATTAAAAGGGTGCGCCCTGTAAAGGTGCACAAAATCCTTAGCTCTGATTTTTTAATTTCGATTTCATTTACGGTCAATTTCGATTAAAAGGTGAAAAAAGGTGTAAAATTAAGGTATTTACAACCCAGTCAGCGTCTTCATATTTTAAAATATTTTTTTGTAACTTTCATAAACCTGTAGCATTAATCCATACGAAGACAATGTATGTTAAAATTAGTTTGTTATATGGGTAGTTGATTAGGAATTGGCAATTTTGAATGAGTCACTTTTCATGTTATTTTGCCAGTAAAAGAGTCAATTATTATTGGATTTTCATAAAAGTGACACCACTTGTAGACGGACGGATGTCCAGACATACGGACGTCCGGACATACAGGGGCGACAATATACGTCCACATGAAAATGTGGGCATATAAAAATTGTGACCTCTATAGGGTCCACAACCTTGATATACCATATTTTTAGGCTATTTGAGAACAAAGGGCAGCCATTTTGTCTGTCAGTTTTGGGTCAATTTTCAAGAAACTCAAACTCGTCCCTCCTTAGGGTGTAACGGTGATATAATAATACGTTTTTTTTTAAATCGGATAAAAATTATGATCTATATAGGGTCCACAAGCAAAAAACGTGATTTTTCGAACAATCAGGTGCAAAAATTCATGAAGGTACGGTCCGATATGCGCGAATATCGAAAGGAACTGAGATCTTTGGGTTATAAACTTACATTTCAAGTTTCAACAAAATCGGATAAAAATTGTGACCTCTATAGGGTCCACAATCCTTGATATACCATATTTTTACGCTATTTGAGAACGGACGACGGCAATTTTATCTGTCAATTTTGGGCCGATTTTCACGAAATTCGAACTCAGCCGTCCTTAAGGTGTAACGGTGATATAATAATACGTTTTTTTTAAATCGGATAAAAATATAGGGTCCACAAGCTAAAAACGTGATTTTTCGTACAGACAGGGGCCATAATCCATGAAGTTTCAATCCGATACATGCCAATATCGACAGAAACCAAGATCTTTTGGAGATAAGAATTGTGACCTGTAGAGTGTTCACAAACAAATTGTGGACGGACGGACTGGGGCGACGACAATATATGTCCACATGATTTCGTCCGACAGTTTTGGGCCGATTTTCACAAAATTCGAACTCAACCTTCATTACAGTGTAACGGTGATATAATCAAACGTTTTTTTAAATCGGATAATAATTGTGACCTCCAGAGGGACCACAAGCTAGAATAGGAGATTTTGCATTCAATCAGGGGCCATAATTCAGGAAGTTAAGATCTGATATGTGCAAATATCGAAAGGAACCAAGATCTTTGGGTTATAAACATGCATTTCAAGTTTCATCAAAATCAGATTAAAATTGTGACCTCTACAGGGTCTACAACCTTCAAGGTAACATGCATAGTGTGTAGAACTGATCTCTGATTATTGACTAACTGGCCTCTGCGTTAGAATATCCTTCAAAAGTGTAGAAATGATTAATTGTGGTTACTATTAATGGAAACTCGTGA